AGAGAGAGAGAGAGAGAGAGAGAGAGAGAGAGAGAGAGAGGATGAATTTGAAAAAACATAAAGCTCTATATGGAATCAGATGTAAACTGGAGGAAAAATAACATAATTTTCTATTAAAGATCTCAGTGCTGTTAGTAGATGAATAGAACAACAATGTGAGGACCTAAAAAGTATGTCCTTGAGGCATATTTCTTTTTTCATTTCTATTTTGATAATGATGTCCGTGAGGCATATTTCTGTGTAGTTTAAGACCAAATAAAAAGCAATCTTCAAGATGATCTTAGACGGTAGCCACAGTTCTGAAAAAATCAAAAGCTCAGATCTCAGTCTCAGCTTGTCAAATCAAAGTTGTATGAACTGTAACAGGAAAGCTACTTATCTTAAAACAAAAAACGAAAAAAACAGTCGCTCGCTCTGAAGTAATTGTCACAATACACCAAATAGACCTAGCTTCCAAGAATAGTCTATGGAAAATCAGAGACAAAATTGTCCCTTATTTTCCAAAAATTAAAATTATGTCACGTGTGGATTTAAGTCACTATAAATAAGTCAATGGCATAAGAAAGAAACCATACTGCATCAGAGAAGCCATATGAGATAATTGCCTCTCCTTTTTTTCATGAATAGCATATGTGAAAATTGTATCTATTCCAATAAGGAGAAATAAATTGCCCAGATATATGTTTCAATCTATTCCAATAGGGAGAACTAAATTGTCCAGATATATATTTCACGAAATAGTGAATAGCCATCCAAAATAAAAAAACCCCAACAAAACTGGAAATAATACCTGAATGGAAGACACAATGATGGTAATCTGAGATGCCACACGATGCATCTCTTTCTCTAACCATGCCCATTGAGAAGTTCCCAACATTTCTCCATCACTAAACAACGGATCTCTATGATATCGTGTGTCCAGTAGAAGCACCTGAACAAAAGCAGTGTTAGCATCTTACTTTGATACCATGCAAATTCACGTAGTAATCACAGATTCACAAATCTGTCAGTTGTTTTTTTTAAAAAAATAAAAATAAAAAATAAAAAAAAAGAAATTAGAAATGTTACGGTTTAAACTAATACATTCATAAGCACAAAATCTGAAAGCAGTCTCTTATATAACATATCATGAAGAAAATTGCCAAACTCAAGGTAGAAGCCCTTGGTGCCAAAAATGTTTAGAAACATTGCAATGAAGAATTTTACGAGACAAGTTTTATTCCCAAATCATCTTTAGATTATTAATTGTTGTAACTTATTTTTCCCAGCAGTTGTTTGTTCCTAGAAATTTTATTTGTTATAACATAAAATTTGGATAGTTAGTAGATAACTAGTTAATGGCGTGAGTGTTGCACAATGCTCTTGTTGAGAAACAGTCTAACAATTTCTTCAAATATTTAATTTAAATGTAAATAAACTCATTTTTATGCTACTGAATATTATTCTATAATTAGCGAATTTCCTATCTGGTCTTCTCTAAACTTTTTTTTCTTAACTTTTCTTTGAATAAGTTAAATACTATCATAGCAATTCCTACTTTCTAAAAATAATCAGCAATTAACACAGAATCATTCCTAATTTTTCTTTTTCAAGTTTACCGTTTTTATCTCTTTTATTTCTTTTCCAATTCTTAAATTAGAATTCAAAATAGAAAAATAAATGTGATATTTAAGGATATGGATGTGATTTGTTTTTTTTGGCAATTTTATCATTAGATTTAGATAACAATTCAAATATCAAGTATGGATATTTGAGGGATGAGAGCTCAGTGAGCTAGAAAGAGGGAGAAATTTTAGGAAATTTTGAGGGAAAAATAAGAGCAGTGTGAAATTTAAAATAAGAGCAATGTGAAAATTTTAAAATTTAGAGTGCCTACTGCTGACCTACCCAAAACATATGTATAACATTACGATGTTGATAATTACAACACGTTGTCCCTGGTTCAAGTCCCCACCACTGACCTACCCATAAAAAGAATACAAGTTAAAATTTTAAGACATGAGAAGGCAAATTGAAACTGTCATATTATATTATATGTATCCAAAAATTTATTATAATTATTCGAAAGGATAATTAATTTCGAACTTCAAGAATGAATATTCAGTTCTCCCTACATTTCCCTTTTTCATGTTTTGTCGACTATAAATCCAAATTGGCAATGAATTTTCATTGTTTGGCTGGTCAAAGTTAATTGCAGTGAATATAGTAAATTGTTTCCAACGGCAATGCTTGCTATTATTTCTTTTCGATTCCACAATCTAAGGTAAAAGAATAATGAAATTATCTATTTCTTTCTCTCGATAGGTTGCGGAATTATAGAAAACCAAAATAATCACTTAATGCATTTGTTCGCAACTTGATGGTTATATTTCTCTACTATCTGTTAGCTTTGAAAATATATTGAAAATGAATCAAAGAACCATCCAATATATGACTCTACCAATTCAGTGGTAATTGACGAAAAATTAAGTCAACCAATTTAGTGGTATTGACGAAAAATTAAGTAAGAAAGTCATAAAAGGTCTGCTTTCGCACCTTTAAATTAAGTAAGAAAGTCATAAAAGGTCTGCTTTCGCACCTTTACTTGTTTACCAGGTGGGCCAAACATATAAGAAGTATACACACCAGCTTGCAAACGCCTATAGAAAGAAACCAAAAAAAATGGGTAAAGCAGAACAAGCATCCAGGAGAACAAGAAACAAAAATTATTCCTGTCACAAGAATGCACGCTTATGGCCATTCTAAAAATGAAATATATATATATATATATATATGTATATATATATATATATAACAAACTCATGGTAAACATCATGACTAGTACAAGTTCATTTAAAACAAAACAGATTAAATATAAACTTCCTTAAAATCACTAAAAGGTCCAGCAGTTAAGAAGAATAATTTTACACTTCCCCAACTATAAAATATCATACCTGGGACTATCTTTGGCTTCATCTAAGAAATCTAACATAAGCTTTTGATTAGTATCCTTCCTAGAAAATTCTTTCCCCGCATCATTCAATCCATAATCATGGTCATCCCATGTGCCAATGACCTATGACACAAATTATTATTAGAATGAAGCTTGTAACACTTTAAACCTAAGTTTCTCCCCACACCTCGTACTTAAAAGAGTAAAAATACAATCACTAATCAAAAAGTTCAGAAAACAAAACCAAATTATTTTCTGTGCACCAGAAAACTATGATAGTCTAAGTTCAACACAGAAATTGCAGATATGTATACATTCTAGTTTATGCTTGGAACCGATGAGTTGCTATTTAAAAAGAGAAAATTTGAGGAAACGCGGTGCCAACTGGTAAAGGTGAACCCATTCGAAATTACCCGAGTTCTCTCTCGAAGAAGTGAATATCCTGGATTAGTCTTGGCCTTGTTATACCTGGACACCAACTCTTGCTCTGAGGCTGGATAGAACCTTGGCACATTTTTCCATGGTCCAACTGTCCTCTCCTTTCCTATAAGCTTGAATGGCCGCTTATTGTCCCCATAAATATTATCACCCATCCAAATAAAAAGCTGTGGTTTGAAGTTTATTATGCCATCCCAAATTGGCTGTACATGCAAAACAATAACAGAATAATCAATCAGATACCTTACAAAATAAAAAATCTCCTCCATAGTGTTGTCAGATAATCTACAAAGGTACTCCCCTCTAAACACTAATCCATTCTTAATAACATTACCTCATCAGAAGAATTGAGAAAAAGCAGAACACTTTGAGAAAGAGCAGAACACCTTGATGCTAGTCAACTAGTGCATCATTTCTGCCTCCGAGGGGCTGTAATTTCATGGTTGAGCACGTGAAAAGTCTTGAAACAACAAAGTAAGGTTCAAAAAAGATCAATGGTGACTGCTCACAGTGTTATGCAAAACAATAACATGTTCCTTCATATAAATAGCAAGCGTTATACCATTTACAGTGGTCACTATAATGAAGCACAACAATAACCTCTTATGGTCATCATAATTGTGTAACCCCTTCCTTAGTTATAAAAAGTGGCATCATAATGCTTTATGTTGCTGCAACAAAGCGGATGAGCCCTTGGCACACTGCATATGAGAATGATGTGCCTACATAGATGGCACATCACCTGCACGTGTACCATGTTGTATGAGCATGATGTGCCCACACATCCGGGAGCATACTCATGGGCGGAATAATGCCCAAGAAAATCCGCCCAAGAGCATTCCATGCCTAAACCCCCCACGCCCCACCCAAACAAAAAAAGAATCTTGTTTTTCAAGAAAAAGAACCTAATATTCAAGCAAAAAAAGAGGGGGTGGGGACCCCCCTTAAAAGTTGCTTGGAACCAGCTTTTTATGATTGTAAGGGGATTGCAGTGAAAATTTCAAGAACCAATTTTTTTCGCGATTTGGAAGGTTTTGTGGATTCTTTGGGCACAGGTAGGAGTTGATTTACGTGGCATGTTTTGAGGAGTTTTCAGGTTAGGATAATCTTGTATGACATGAAATTTTGGTCTTTTGATGGTATGTACTCGTGAAGTGCTTTAGACAATTGGACTCTTAAGTAATCGGCAATTTGGGTTTTGGCTATATGCTACAGTCTACTCAGTAATGCTCGATAATTAGCGGAAATATACTAAGTTGCCATATGCTACTTTATTTTTTTAAGTGCATGGTTAGAACTTGGTAAAATACATATTTTTTTGTGTTTTATTTAATGGGATTGATTGATTTATTTTGTTAACAGCAGTTGAGAATAGAGACAAAAAATATCGCTGTGGCTCTTTTTCAGGCTATCAGTGACTTAGACAACAGATATATTAGAGACAAATACTAAATTAAAATGCCAAAGCTATCACATAGGACCATGTTATATTCTCTATAGTTTTTTGTAATTTATCGAATGCATTGGAAGTGATGCATCCACGTTGAGGTGCATAGCACATCAAACCACTATAGCACATTGATTCCGCAACCCGCATTAGATAAGACGCCTTTTCTTCTGAACCTTTGTACTAATGAGAGCATCCCGGATAACACAACCTCCCATGATTTTCTTGAGAACTATAACCTTCAGGTTAAGATTATCTCATTAATCAAGTGTACTCCATGAGTCCATGTAACTTTAGGCAACACTATACTAGTGATACTACTAAGTACAAACCATCATGGAAGTGATGTGCCCACATGGAGGTACATATCACATTGAACCGCGTAAGTGCATTGATTCCGCAACCCCCATTGGATAGACGCTTTGTGGTCTAAACCTTTGTACTACCAAGATTATATCACGATAACCAACTACCCCCCCTCCTCCCCCCACCGACCACACACACACACACCAAAAAAAACAAAGATATGACTGGATTTTTATGAGATCTATAATCCTCAAGTCAAGATTATCTCATTAATCAAGTGTACTCCATGAGCCCATGTAACTTTTGGGCATAATTATACTAGTTATGCTATAAAGTACAAACCAATTATCTTCTCAAGTCCAGAACCAAACACATGGGGACTCGGCCAGTTCCCAATATTTTAACATTTCCTTGTTTGAACTCGGCAGTCTTGGCCAAGTCTATCAGACCTAGCACAGGCTCAGGACACTAGCAAGTGCCGATCAGAGTCCTTGTTTAGTAACACTGTTTCCAGTGCATGGAAATCAATAAGAGATACATAACTATAACATGAAAACATCAAGTATCCCAAAATTTTATCAAGAAAGATTTTAATCCAAATTCCCGATAAAGTAAAAGATGGGCTTCTCATTTCTCAGGATACTGTAGTAAATGAAGAGACACTTTTCTGCTAACATTTGCTAGTAAGCTGTGCAAATTGACAACTGAGAAACTGAGACAAAAGACAACTCCTTATTTACATAATCAAGGGACATATAAACCTAACATTACACTACAATAAACTATAAACATGTGCATTCCAGACAAACAGCTAATCAGAAAGCATAAACCACATATCATGCTAATCCTAAAATGAGTTGAATAAAAAGAACCAACACAAAGTAAATAAATAAAAAGGGGTTCTGTAAGGCACCAAAAGGAAAAATATTGCGAAATAATAATAAAATAGAATGCAAACCTCTGATACCAATAGAAATTTGAATCTAAAATACCATAGAAATAGTTGAAAAAAAAAAAGGTTTTGTAAAGCACTACAAGGATAAATTTTGGGTTTGGTGATAGCTAAATCACTATACCCATAGTTTCAAGAGTATTATGGTAAAAAGAAAAAAGAACTTTCTTGAAAAGCAAGAAAGAGAAATCTATATATGTAAATCAAAGAAGACATAATACCCATCATTTTCACCCCTTTGGAGGTTATGGGAAGGGATCTCCAAGTTGGAGATAGGTCTCCAAGAGAGAGAGATACGGCCTCTGAGAAAGAGGCCGTATTCCCATGGGTTTTGGGTTGGTAAGGTTTTCACTTCTAGAGAGAGAAAATCTCTCGGTTGCTCAAAGTTATATTTCCAGTAACGGTATTGCAGTGGGAAAAAAGATATTGATCGACGATGTTGCTCGATCAAGAGAACGAGTTTAGACAGGAAGATCGGTGATGGTTTTTTATCGATATTTAGAGAGAGATATATCTCTTGTAATCCAAAACTGTAATATTCGTTGTGATAGTGGATTTCGACTTGCCGAGGCCGTATATGTAGCTCTATGGGGTGAACTACGTAAATCTTGTGCTAGTGTGGTGTGATTATTCTTATTGTTATTTCTAGAACTCGATTATAGTTGTATTCATCTACTTCGCATTTAACCAATAAAGTACATGATCTTGGGTGGGATCCCGATATTTGGGATTCCCGGTTCCGCAACCAAGGGGTTACCTAGAACCCTACAATTGGTATCAGAGGACAAACTGTGTATGGGGCTAAGGCTTATAGAAGAAAAAGATAAATTGGGAAATTAAATGGGTACATGGTTTGAGGTGGAGAATATGGAGGCAAAGTGCTTGTGAAAAATCTACAATGGAGGCAAGTGAGAAGAAATTAAGAAATCTATTCAATAAAGATGGCAAAGCAATTATGATGATTTTGCTATCAAAGTGGAGATTATTGGGTTTGGTGATAGTTAAATCACTATCCCCATATTTTAAGGGTACTATGGTAAAAATAAAAAGAATTTTATTGGGAAGCAAGAAAGTGAAATCTATATATGTAAATCAAAGAAGACATAATACCCATCCCTTTGAAGGTCACCCCTTTGGGGGTGATGGGAAGGGATGGGTCTCCAAGAGAGAGATATGGCCCCTGAGAGAGAAGGGTTGTATTCCAATGGGTTTTGGGTTGGTCAAGCTTTCACTTTTAGAGAGAGAAAATCTATCGATTGCTCTCGGATGTATCTTTCTGGTAGCGATATTGCGGTGGAAAAAAAGATATTGATCGACGGTGCTACTCGATTGGGAAAGTGGGTTTAGAAGGGAAGATCGGTGATAGTTGTTTTACAGAAGTTTAGATAGAGGTCGTGGATGCAGCCCTATAGGGTGAACCACGTAAATCTTGTATTATTGTAGTGTGATTATATTTATTGCTTTATTTCTAGCACTTCATCTACTTCACAGTTAGCCATGTACACGATCTTGGGTGGGATCCCGATATTTGGGATTCCCGGTTCCACAACCTAAGGTTACCTAGAACCCTACAATAAATACTGTAAAATAACAATAAATAGAATCCAAGCATCTAATAATAATAAAAATTTGAATCTAAAATATCAGAGAAATAGTGACTCCTCTTCTTTGAGACCTTTTACTTATGAGTAGAAAACTTAGAGAATTACAGTTAACGATCAAACAAAAATAACGAAACTAAGAGGTTACCTGAGGAGCACTCTGATTAGCACAGGATCCAAACGCAATTCTCGAAATCGCAGTCTCCTCATCTCCTCCGATTGCGAAACCAGGAAAAACATAGACTCCAAAGAGAAGCGAAACAAAGAGGAGTTGAAGGCATGAGAAATGAAGCCATAGAGCCATTAGGGATGAATAAATTAGGTCACAAAAATGAGGAATTGGAATTGGGCCATTAAAAGTTTCTAGGAAAATCAGAATGATCAAAGAGATAGAAAGAGGGAGACGCAGTGCTCCACTTCAGTGGAAGAGAGAGACACATATGTAAATGCATCCTACAACGAAAGATAGATTTAGAGAGAGAGAAAGTAGTCAATAAATGAGAGAGACACATGCATCAGGGAAAATGTGAGAGAGTAGTTAATACTTAATAGAATGAGCGAGAAAGAGATAAATTGCTCGAGTGTAGAGAGATAATGGTTTTAGAGAGAGAGAGAGAGACTTCTGCTGCGAACTGTTTGCTTCCTTGCCACACCTCCGGGAAACTGCTGTGTAAATGACCACAGTGGCGCGGGATCTCAGCCGCTTCCGAATAGTGCGGGAAAATAAAGTTGTTGCGGAAATATTACCATCGGAAATATTTTCTGCTCAAGCGGGATCACACTGTGTATATTACTTAGGGGAAATTGTATAAAATTCTCAAAATGGATTTTGAGGCAATTTATATCCAACCTAATTTTTTCTATTAATTTTTTTTCAAAAATCATGTTTTCTAATAGATACCAACCACTCAACTCAAAAAATAAATAAATAAATAAATTAAAATACCCCTCCCTTACCTCACTCGTTGACCATGGCGGTCCGGCATTTGGAAGAGGCGGTTCGGTGCTTAAGTTATTGATCTGGAACGGTCCATCACTACACTATGGCGGTCCGGCACTTCATCATGGCGGTTCGAAGTTTGGAAAAGGCGGTTCGGCATTTGTTTTTGGATTAGTGAGCGATGCGGCATTTGTGAGATACGGTTCGGCATTTTCTTTTATTGGGATCCGAAAATGATTTGTTATGTATGGGAAGGGTATTTTCATCAAAAAAAAAATGAACTTTTTTTATTGGGGCTATTTGCTATAAAACTTGATTATTTTAAAAAAAATAAGCTAAGAAAAATTAGGATAGGTAAAGTGCCTAAAAAGTCTATTTTTTAGGGTTTTATGCAATTTTTCCTATTGGGTCAGCCAATCAGATACGATTTCTTTTTAGGTGATCAGGAGTGTGTAATTGACTAAATTCAAAATTCAAAAATAAATTTAACGAACTTTATGACACAAACCAAGCCATCCAATTTCATATATGATGGCTAAGAGTCATTTTCACCTTCTTATAACAAAATTAAATAATCTCAGTATTAAACCCCTTACTATTAAAAGGTGGGATTTTAGTGCGTCAGTTGATGCACCTGTTCAAATGCAACCTCATTCAAAAATCCATGTTAGAGATGGATTTTATATCTACAGTTGATAATCTCAAAAAAATAAGTTTTGAACCTTAAATTAAATCGTCTTGAGTTTTGTTCTCAGACCGTTCCTCACTGTTCATTTTAATTCTTTCAAGGTAATTAGATCTTCACTATACTATACTTTGAGCTAAAAAATCATGAATCTGAAGCCTTTTCATATACAAAGAGTGACTTAAGATATATTTAAGATCATATGTCTATCTCTAAGATGGATTTTCTGGAAGGGCTCCCGATTCGAATAAGAGCTCATTTAGACGTTTCCCGAATTCAAAATAGCGCTAACGTGATTAAATGAAGTAATGAACCATAAAGTGGTCAGAATGAGATAGTTATAAATTCAAGCACCTCTAGGGGTATTTTCGTGAAAATACTTCGAAGTTCTTAACCCGAGATCTGAATCCTGATCCAGGGGCCAAATTTTCAATATGCCCATGCCCATTTCGGTTTTCGAACCTCGAAGAAGGAATTTCCATGTAAAAGCACATATTTTGAGTCTGGAGCCAAAACAAACAAGGTAATTTTATCACTTGGCTTTGGTTAATTAAATTGGGCGAACGATATAAATACTTCATCTTGTTTTGAATTTTATACCCAGAATAATGATCCTATGGGACCTTCTCTCACCTACATGTGTAGGACGCCAAAGGATCACAATTAAAATTGGTACGAATCTCTATAAAAGCATCACATAGGTGTGGGATTTGACTTTTCTATAGATCCGTGCCAAATTTAATGGTAATCCTTTCAGGTCATATACACATAAGTGGGGAAAGGTCCTATACGATCATTTCTCATAAGATATTTCAAATGAAAAAACATGTTTTGATCTTGAAACCCAATTAAAGAATTATTATTTAGGTCATTTGGCTTAAGCCAAGTAAGTGGAGAAAATTCACCAAAGTACATTTCAAATGGAAAAACATGTTTTGATCTTGAAACCCAATTAAATAGTCATTATTTAGATCATTTGGCTTAAGCAAAGTAAGTGGAGAAAATTCACCGAAGTACCTCCTATTTTGGGTCTTTTTAACAAAATAGTTGAGGATGAAGCTATCACCTTATTTATAAATTAAATCGATGGAAAAAGTTTACATAAGAATAAGCCAACCCTAAAAATCTAATAGAAAAGAGTGTTCCTAAGTTAGAAAACATTATAATTGATGACCTCGACCTTGAAATGTATATATATATATATAAACTCCAAGTTCTAAAAATAGTGCATCTTATAGTAGGTTATATGGACTGTCTATTTTCATAATTCTCAATTATTTTTTTCAAGTGCTTTTAGATAAGCCTGATCTTCACATTTCCAGATATTAAATTTCATAATTAGAATTAAATATCATTGTTTAAGCCTATCTTAAGGTTTCCGACCCCAAAATCACTTAGCTTTTCAGGTGGTCTGACAACTGTATTGCAAATTTGATCCATGTTATACAAACATAAAGTGGCTATTCTCATCAGTTAATAGTGTGGGTCACCATTTGTCTACTTTTGCGGAGGAGTTGCTCTTCTTTGCCGTTAGATACTAGGACAAATGGTAGATGCCCGGCCTTTGTAAAATACACTAATGTGTGCCTCAGTTGCTTATTTGAAGATTTTGGTTTGTAAAACGCTGGGGCCCTAAACAAGTAAAGTAAGGCGTATTTTCAAATAATATTGAAACATATTGTTTTAGTATAAAACATATTTGCAGTGGCTTAAAATTTTATTTTCATTTTTAATTATAAAATTTAAAGATTAAAAAATAATGTAGATCAAGCAAATCTATGAATACTTAAAAAACTTAAAATTGACGGTCCAAATAATACATATCTTAAACTAAGATGATTGAATTGAGGGCTTTCAGCATTGAAATAACCTCCTGTAGTGAATTTTTGAGGTGCAGCTTATTTTGATTGTTTGGGACCTCGCCCTTGTATGAACTTTTCCCTTATGTAAATTATTCCTGCCACTACTGAACTATTAAATTGCTTATTTATATGCTCCATCAAGTCAATGCTTTTGGATTCTTCCATTTCCAGAAAGAAAATCAATGGTTCAACCAAAGCAAGTCAGAAATTAAAAAGTGCATTTATTCGAGCTTAAATTATTTAATAAGATGCATATATGTTTGCACAGTCCATGAACTTGTTATTTACGGATGTCTGCATGTCTGTATATTAATGAAACAAGGAAATTCTAGCTTGGATCTTGGCTTTACTTTTTAAAATAGCAACCAAATGTAGCTAAGAATGTTAGTTAATTATCAATTTGGTAAAAAAATAAAAAATAAAAAATTTTAAGTTCTAAAAATATTGCAATGCGTACGATCGTTTATTTTTTAATATCTATAAATCCATTCGATTTGTATTATTTTTTGAGTTTCAAATTCCATTATAACGAGTAAAAATAAATATTCTAGACATGATAAAATTGTAACATATTTTATCGGGTGGGGCTTTACTTTTGTTGTAAAGCCACGGCCTCATCGTAACAGCACACATAAAATATATATACTGATGTGTAAATGTATTTCATTTGTAAAGAGAAAACAAATGGCTGAACCACGTAGTAGAGATTTGCATTCAAGAAAGGTTTCCAAAGCATTATGTACAAAGGCTTTTACTGTAAAAGGAAATTCAGAAGCCAAAAAGAGTGTGCCCATAATAAACACAACCATAGGCATTGAACCTTCTCATGAAAGCCTTTTCATCTTGTCCAAAAGAAAACCCAAAATAGCTTCTCTCATCAACACAACCAGGGCCATTAGAGAGAGAGGAAAACAAGTTGAGGGCTTAAAATATGTGGGTGGAGACAGAGAGATATCAAAGTGAAGAGGTTGAAGTTTGAACACACACAAGAGAGACAGAGTGGTTGAATAAACACAAACAAAGAGATGACAGGAGGAGAAGGGTTTCAATAAACATCACACAAACACTTGCACAGAGAGAGAGAGAGAGAGAGCACAAAGCAATGAAGTAGTAGAGAGAGAGAGAGAGAGAGAGAGAGAGAGCTCAACCTCAATGAGCAGAAAGCAAGGAAGTAGTAGGCTTGAACCCAAAAGGGTGGCAAGCCACCAAGTAGTAAGCAACCTTATTCTTCAACTTCCTCATCAAAAACACCTTCCCCTTCCATTCAAACACCCTCATGAACACAAACTTCACCCCCCTCTTCTCTCTCTTCATATTCTCTCTCTTCTCCTCTTCTTCTCCCTCTCTCTCTACCTCATCATCCCAGTTAAGAGGATAGCTCCTAAGAAAAGCTCTTCTGGTACTATACTCCTCTTGCCTAAAGCTCCTCACCCGTAGGCCTGAATCCTCATCTGAAAATTCTTCCATTTCTCTAATGAGATACTCTAAGCCCTTGCCTTAGGCTTAGAAGTCATTCATTTTAGTAGAGAGAGAGAGGCAAAAGTTGCTGTGCTAAGAGGTACTAGTTATAGGGAAGGTCACGGGTAACAAAAGCACAAATGACCAGCTTTGAGAACAGCAAAATTTGGTATTTAAAAAGGGACCAAAAATAGAGGAAAAGAAGGGGCTAATAGGTCACCAATTTATTTAGTAATCCACCCCAAATTAATTTAAATTAATACATTCAACATTGGGTAGATTAATAAAAAGGTTGTGTGGCAATATAAAAAGCAATGGGTGGATTAATAAAAATCCAAATTTTAAAAAACTATTATAATAATCAACGAGAAAAAATAACAATTAAATAAGATGGTTTTTTAAAGGACTTCTTGGATTTTGGGATGCTGTTTTGTGGGGCTTTCCCGGCACTCCAATTGAGGATTTAATGGGTTTTAAAAATCAAGGATTAATATATTAGTTATAATTAATTAGACTAAGCTCTTTTAAATTCGAGACAATGATATGTAGAAAACATTTTATTGGGCTGTATAAATAATGATTCACCTATTAGAAATAGTTAATTAAACTATTTTAAGAAAAATTTTGAGACAATGATATGTAGAAAAAGTATTTTATTGGGCTGTTATCCACTATAGACACACTAATCTATTTTCTTATTTATTGTTTCGTGGACTCCTTTTCAGCAATGTGGTAAGGTATGAGTACCGTGTCCGTTATTGTGCGAATTATTAAGGATAAGGGTGTTCATGTGGCTCACCCACAAATAGTCAAATTGTTTTCTCACACATCTCTTTTGAGTGTAGAATATTACTTCTTAAACCAACAAAAATATGCGGATTGGAATTTCTTTTGTGTTGACAAATAAGACTATAATTTTGTATTTTAGGGTAAATATATTTTTCAGGAAATATTTCGCAAATGTATATAGTGTTGTGAAGCCTAGTAGAATTGCAGTAGGCGAACTAGTCTAGCTACCAACCCAATTTTTCAAAAGGAAAATTATTTCATGCGGCAGGGATCACATTTCTATATTTGCGGTCATCGAGGTATAAAACATCCATTTTAAAGATGGATGCAAACATATGGTCCATCTAAAAACATTTGAAACTAATAGTCCAAATGTTTTTTAAATAAAATTATTATTTTTAATTTTCAAAATTTATTTATTTTTTCATATTCATGATCTCTATGTTAGAGATTATATGTCTTTAAAAATTAGGTCCAAAAATCCATTTCAAAAATAGATTTTTAAGAAGTTATTACATGGACTCATAGAAACCATGTTCTTTTCATAATACACCTACTATTAATTATTTAATATTTTACCCGTATGATTTGATTCAATTTCAAATTTTCCATTAAAATGCACATAATTTTGCACTGGAATAGTACAAAAAGGGTAAAATTTCAAATAATTGAAAAAGTAAGTATATTTTGAAATTTTTTCCAAAAACAATATTCAATTACAAGCCCCAAAAATAATCCATCTTGCATCACTGTTTTTAGACCATCTATTTAATCATATTTTTTCCGATCTACAACGGTTTTGAAGCTCCAAATTCCACAGTCAAGCAGAAATGGATTTGTAGGCCATCACATTATTTTCTACCACCACATTTGTATTTGCTGCGAGGTTTTGAGGTGAGATTGTACAGGGACACAACCTTAACAAAATTTCTCCTTTTTTTATCTTTTTGTTTTTTGAACATGATAGCTTAAATTTACCAAAATTTGACCCTCTAATATTTATTTTTCTCTCTCGAAATATTCAAGAAAATAATATGAAAAAGCTTAAAGAGCAATAAGAATTGATATCTGGGATTTCAGATTTGAGAGGTTTAGGCGGCAAAGTCGTTTTCAAATTTTAATAATTTAGGTTGAGAATTTCAGATGAGTCTCAAAAGGGCAACGTTGCGAGCACTCTAAAGTTAATCGTGACCCTTAAAACTACAAAACAGACGGCATCGTTGTCGTGTATTAAAAGCCAAAGGCTGATAAAACTTAAAAGAGACAAAAATACCTTTTGCTTATTAATATACATGGTCAAAAAAGTAAAGACTCTCTTTTTTCCTAAGGAATATATTGGATAGAGAGAGGCATTTTCTTTTTTGCTTTCTCATTGAGAAACTCAACAAAAACATACTCGGAAGTTTAACTATTTGACATTTAATCTTAGGTGCTATTTGATCAAATAAAACGTTCGAGGTTGACATTAAAATGTAGAATTAACGTGCACCTCTAAAATCCTTTGGAAAAAGGTTGTTTTGTGTTAGAAAAACATCAAATTGATCATCTCGAAGTCGAGATCTATGGATATAGAGAAAAAAAAAAAGATTTCAAATCTCAAAAATAGTATATCTTGCAAAACATTATCCGAGCCATCCATTTTCAATATTTTCATGTGTCCATAGTTCTACTTGATTTGAACCATTTTTGGAGTTTAAAATTTTATAGTTAGAGATAAAAATAGATTTTTGCATTATCCTAGAAGTTTCGATGCAAAACTAACATCTCATTATAAAGTTTGAGGTGCACCTAAAAAATTAATGTTTAATGTTGCAACTTTATGCAAACCACACCCTTTGATAAATTTTTAAACATAATTTGACAAGTGATTTGATGGGTTGTTCAAAATTTGATAAAAATATGTAGGATATTTTAAAATTAATGTTTAAGGTTGCAACTTTATGCAAACCACACCCTTTGATAAATTTTAAAACACAATTTGACGAGATTTTTAATGGGCTGTTCAACATTTGATAAAAATATGTACGATATTTTAAAATTAGATAAAAAGTATGGGACGTTAAATAGTTCTAGGTGTAGTTTGATAAATTTCTTTTTTAATAAGGACATGTGTAAAAACTGCTTTTAACTAAGAAAATTGGGGTAGTTTACAACTTTGCCCAAAGGACTGCCAAATATACTTTTCAGCATAAATTTTTTGGAAAGATGTAAAGCATGTAATTAACATAGTAAGTTACAAGGCTAAACTATTTTTTATATATTTATAGCTAAGCCCCATAAGCGTACATGAACCACGTTCCATGCACAACTCTC